TTTGCAAACAAGTTCTCCTTAAATACGTAGACAGCTGTGCTTCATTCTTGAACCAAAATGGTTTAAACTCACGACTTGGATTAGGAGGATACTCGACGAAGCAACTTGAATAGTAAATATCTAAGCGGAACTCTTGTCCTAAAATATCCTGATTCTTTGGTTTGTTTTTATCGTGTCCAATACGCGTTTTCGTAAAGTACGATTTGATGCTGCGGTACGAAGCCCGAGTAAACGCTCTTAGAGCGTCTAGTAAACTATTTTTCACGTCTTTCATCGCCCCATTTGTGCAATTTATCTACCAAATACTACAAGAAAAAACCTCAGTATCTATGAAATAAACACGTTCCAGCATGGAAAATGCTTTGTACGATTTTTATTCACTCTTTGATACATACCATAGTATGTACATACCAGAAAACTCACTCGTTCGCTGCGCTCACTCGTTTGTTTTCTAATACTACTCAACTCGTGAATAAAAATCGTACGCCCGCATTTTCCACGAAGTAATTGTGTCCCCAATTAGCTATTTTTGGCTAAATATCTTCGATTCGTTAATAAAGTCTATGTATGTATAGAGAAGATATTACATGCCCGCGCGTGGATACGAATTTTATCTTCGAGTGTTCAGCTCGATATATGTTGAGTTGAACACGAGAAGATAAAATTGGTATCCACAAGCGGGCATGTCATATTCTGTTTATTATATAAACATACTAATGACGACGTTTTTGACGATTTTCCGGAGATTTCCGACCACTTTCCGAAGATATCCGAAGATTTTTCAAAATAGTTCCGAAAGCCAGATGAACGCTTCCGAACATTTTCAGAAGATTGCCGAAGACAACCGAAGATCAGAAGATGTTTCGATCAGACATCAACAAATTTAGGTGTAGATAAAGGGACAAAAAAAATGTTTTTAAAAAGGAATGATATCTTCACAGTGGGAAAGATAAAAATAGTATCTTCACTGCGCGCGATGAAGATGTGATTTTTCAGTAAAAGGAAAAATCGTGGTATTTCACTAGTGTTTATATAATAAGTATGTATATCATTGGATTATGATACATGCTTACGTGTACAAAGTCTGATAGCGCGGATTTGCAGCTGTGTTATAATACTTGTGATCTGTCCTATCCTTAGGAGCTCCAAGTGACAGGGAGACTGTACAACAGTTCCTTGCCCGCGTAGGAAAGAAGCACAACTGGACTGACCAAGGCAGCATGAAAGCTGTCCTGACAGGCCTGAGCCAAAAGGAGATCCACGTCGTCAAAGTCCTCAAGGCATTGTGGGAAGACATTAAGTCTGAACTGCAATTGTTGATTGGTTCGAAGATAGACTTGGAAGAGGAGTTGAAGCGAATGTAAAACAACCTTGAGACTAAAAAAGAGCTTCATTCTCTTATCTTGGTAATAAAATGCATTTAAGTTTTCCGTTAAAAAGCAGTAATCTGTTTACATACCTTCTATCTTTAATTAAGATCGTTTAAAAGTAATCAATTCAGACTTGAGAACTAGAAAATGGCGCATGTGTTACCGTAGTTTAGACGCAAACAACTGAGAAAGTTGATATAAGCCCGAGTAACAGGCAAGGCTTTTACCTGACTAATTTGGAATTCTCTGAATCTTCCAGTTTGTACATGTTTGTTTTCTATTTTTGTTTTTCAAAATTAGGTCGACAAAATGGTGATACTCGATGGTAATCATAGCAGCGTTAGCATAGTGTCATGCAAAAGCGACTACGCAAAACTTATTAGTGATTACCTTGTCGCAGAGTCTTCAGAGGCTTTAAGAATCTTTCAAAGATTTCTGAAGAAGTGGTTTTCTCAAATTGACCATATTGATAAGTGTAGTTAAACAGCTTAAAGGCAGTAGTTACCGTAGTTATCTCAGGCCTTCGTGGCGGAAAACGTTCTACTACTGGTTTGGTGTAAATTTCCAACTTGGAGTTGTTCATTTTCGTCAGGCATCTTTCGTAGCACCCTGTGACTTTCTTGTACCCAAGCCCGGCATTCTTTACGCGGAAACTTTCGGGTTCTTGGCAGGAGTCTCGAGACGCAAAGAAACATGGGAAGGGGGAATGTGGAAACAGTGCACGTACAACACGAGATAACTCGTCATAGACGATTTATCTCACACAATTATTCTACCGGGCGTAATTAAGGTCTCGACATTTTAGTTCCAAACGTTTGTACAGAAACTGCAAAGAAAACCTATTATTTCGGAGCGCAAGTTTTTAATAATCTACCGACTTACATCAAGGAAACTAAATCACTGTTAATTTTCAAGACAATGCTTAAGGTCATTTTTAGTGAAAGCTCTTAGTATTTGTAATAATTGCGTATAGTTTTTATCTTTTACTACGTGTTGTACAGTTTTTTATCTTTCACTACATATGTTGTAATTTTTTTATCATCTTTATTGTTATTTTAATTCTATTTTCAGTTGCCCATGCCACCCTTTGATGACAGCATTTGCTGACGAGTTTACCCTGGTTAAATATATTTGTATTATTGTCATTATCATTATCATCATCATCATCATTATCATTATTATTATTATTATTAAATCTGATTAAAGTTATGTGTGACTGATTTAATCTTTTTAAGTGTACTGATTGTACGGCTGTCTACTCTCTTTTAGCTGCAAGCATGCTCTCGGTTCGGGCATCAAACGGGGCTGAAGGATGGAAGGGGGCATGAAGAGTGAAAAGACTCTCCTCACGCGTCGTTTAGTCGCCCAAGTAACTCTAGCCAAACGAGTTTAAACAAGCCCATATTTGCTCTCGGTTTTAAATTAGGTAGACTGCAAAACAGTCGTTTTTTTCTTCCCTATTCGCAAGGGGACGTTTCTACACTAGCTCCAGACCTTTCGTTCGAATGTTGACCGTGTCGCTCGCGTTCGCAAAAAATACGACTGTTCTGCAGTCTATAGATTAGGTAAAGGTAACGTCTGAATCGAGCCAAGTGGTCAATACAGCCGGAGTTTATCCCGGTTTCTGTAGCATTTAATTATTAGCAGTATTTTTATTCCCCCCTGGATGGAATGTTAGTCCATCGCGGGCTACCCAGAGCATTAAATTTCCCGGTTCTCTCTTGTTTTCGCGTAGAATGTTTCTCTGTCGACGTCATCGGTGACAGTTTGCTGCGCAAAGTTTAATGTTGGAAAAATGTGTACCTTAGGACTTTCGTGAGGCATTTCTCGAAACTGAGTGTCCACCGGGAGGTTATTCCCTGAAATGTTTGGTTGGGTGGTGCTGCGCATTTCTTGGAATCCTTACCCAATTTCAGACCAAAATATGTGATTTACTCTACTATCGATACCCAACTTCAAACTACTCTCAAACACGTGTTTTCTATGAGTCTCTATAATTCGTGACCTCACCTAACCAGGTATTGCTTAGGCCCGTTCC